CAGAAATCTAAAGCCAAGACAGCAGTGCCTTAGTGTGCGCAACAAGGCCAACAGATTACTTGGATTTATCTCAAGAAGTATAAGTAACAGAAGTCCAAAAGTTATTTTACAGCTCTATACATCACTAGTGAGGCCTCATTTAGATTATGCTGCTCAGTTTTGGTCTCCTTACTACAGGATGGACAGACTCATTAGAGAGCATTCAGAGAAGAATGACTAAAATGATTTACTGTGTAAGGAACCTCCCGTATGAAGACAGACTTAAAGCCTTAAATCTCCACTCTCTGGAGAGGAGTAGAATGAGAGGAGATATCATTGAAGTGTATAAGTGGATGACAGGCATAAACAAGGGAGATATTAATAAAGTACTGAGGGTGTCGAACCAGGTAAGAACCAGAAATAATGGATATAAGTTGGATAAATTTAAATTTAGAAAGGACATAGGTAAGTACTGGTTTTCTAACAGTTGTAGATGCGTGGAACAGTCTTCCTAGTGGGGTGATAGAGGCTAGGACCTTGGGTAGCTTAAGAAGAGACTGGATAAATATATGAGTGGGAGGGGCTGGGTTTGATTGGTGTCATGGGGTACGGGAGTTATTTCTTAGGTGGCTTTAGGTAGAGATCGTTTTGATAAGGACCTGCCTCGTATGGGCCAGTAGGCCTTCTGCAGTGTTCCTACATTCTTATGTTCTTAAGTGTAAAGAGAAACTGTTCAGCACTCTCCCTTCGTACATAAAGGAAATTACCAACACATTAAATTCCTCAGGTCAGTTTCTGATCAGCCAGGCTGTGGTACCTACACGGGAATGCCTGTGGCTAGCACCAACAGTCTGAGTGAACAGGTCATAGACCAGGACGCCTGTGCTGGGTCCGCGTCATCAGGTGTTGATGGGGAGTGGTGGTAGTGCTGAGTGGTGGTGGTGGTGGTGGTGCTGAGTGGTTGCGGCGGCGGCCGGGGAGGGGAAGTGAGCTCAATAAAAGCACTGATGATGACACTGGCAACAGACAAGAATTGTTACAAATTTTATTAAGAGTGCTCATTAAAATTGTATTAAGGGAAAGGAGTGCCTGTTATATACCTATGAATAGTTTGAAGATGTGTTTTTTTTTTTTTTTAACTTTCTCAGCTCGGACTGGGACCAGACTTTTCTGTTGATTGCTTTTTCAACCAGGCTGCTGCCTTTGGTGACCAGTTGGCCCACACAGCCATCACAGCTTGGCTGATCTGGCATTTCGCACAAGCAATACTTCAATTTCCACTTGAAGACTTCTTCACTTGTTCCAGCTACCTGTTGGTAGGAGGTTGAATAGTCTTGGATTAAGGATATGGACAGTATTCTCCTATTGTACCGATGGCGGCTCTGCTCTTCACTGGGTCTATTTTACATCTTACGTACCACTCCAGTACGTTTTTGGTTGTAGTGAGATTTGGAATTAGGCCCTCAAGTATCTTCCATGTACATATCAACAAAATTCTTCACTTCAATCTGGGAAGTACATTCCAGTAGTTTAAATGCATTACTGACTATGGGGAGTAAACTACCCGTTTAAATACTCCTAGCTCAAATACTTCTACTGCTTGGAACGGAACCATCAACAATGAACAACACTGTAAACACAATAACACAATTGATTTTAATCGTGTAATCAATGGCATTTCTCTTATCCTGGCCTTCACGAGATTTGTTTTATCGTCATCTCTAAATAATAGATCATCGGACATTATTAAACTCAAGTTTTGTACATATCTTTGTAATGCATGTCTTGTATTTTGTATTCAGTGCTCCTTTGAAGTTCATTATTTCTATATCTGAGCAGGTGGAATGTGTCACTACTAAGCATCATGCTATTTCCCACTATCTGCAAGTAGAAGACTTTGTTGATATTTGCTTGCAATTTTCCCATGTCTTCTACCTAAGCGACTTTCATGCTATCGATATCGTCCACATAGAAACAGACGAGGCTGTGGCTAGTGTTATCAATGTCTGTCATGAGAATGAGAAACATTAAAAAGGCACAAGGACCTTGCCCTGGGGTATTACACTTTTTACTTTGCCGAGGATATTTTTTATGCTACATCTATTGCTACTACTACCACTAGGTGTTATATTTGTAAGCAAACTGAATATTCATTTCCCCACTTTTCTTGTTATACTTATTGATCTGTTTTACTGGCTAGCACCACATGATCGCAAATATCAAATGCCTTAGTGAATTCCGTGGAGACCACATTTATTTTTTTAGTTTTCTTCCATCGTCTCTATAGTTTGGTAATAACTATCTAGTAGTTGTGACAATAATTATCTTCCCTTTGTAAATCTATATCGATTGGAGTGGTGGTCAAACTTTTCCATAAAACTTGTATTTTAGTATGTCGCCATCCTTTTTACAAACTTACGTTCTGTTAATGCTACTGATCCGTAATACTGTGCAGAAGAGCTATGCCTGTACTTTTCACCTACACATAAGCTCTCTCCAAAGAACACCAAGTACTTTTATTAGAGTTATTTGCACTGCTCAAGTTCCATGAATCAGGCCCAGGTGCTGTGTGGGGGTCATGCTTTTCAATTCATTTTTGAATTCTGGGGATTTGTGTTTATATCAGATATATGATCTGAAGGTTGGGCAGACTCATACTGGTCTTTCACTCTTTCTCTCCCCTTTTTCATCATCGGTGCATGAACCTCCTGTGAGTAGTGGGACAATCCTAGATTTATTTTTTGACTGACTTTACGTATGTATAGAAATATTTAAGATCTTTTTTCTTTGTAATTTCCTGAACGGCTTCTGCTTTTGTCTTTCTACCGCCTTGTATCAATGTTTTAGCTTTTGTTCTCTGTGCAGATCCCTTCAAGGAAGGGTTCTTGATGTCGGTAAGGAGTTCTTGATTACAGAACTTGAATCTTTGCTGCCCTTCATTAAATCGAACCTGAATACCTCTCATTCCACCAGGAGTTATATGACCCCTACGGGTTTAGCACCCCTCCATCAATGTAATCTGATCTCTGTGTATATCATCTGAGACTTGTGCTTTTTTTTAAGCAATTCAATAACCGTTATCCACCTTCACATTCTTCTATGTTTTCTTTCTGTATGTGATCTCCTTGCGGACTTTCTCAGGGGAATATTTAATATGGACTTTGTATACTTCTGTATTCAGCTTTTCCATACCATGACGTGGGTTAAGGGTACCTGGGACAATTTCTGAGAGAATGTCATGGCTCACTTCGTTTCAGCCAATTCGCTGAGAGTTATGTTAAATTTACTAAACAAATCTTCACATTAGCTAGTTCTTAGGTTCTTTATGCATAAATTTATGCTTGTCTGTGCTTCAGTGACGTTGAGATCGGAGATTATTATATTTGAAATGCTTATATGTCTCATTAGTTCCTCACAGTTCTTGAAGATAAAATCAATGTCTTTTCACGATCAACAGCTTCTGCTACCTGTTGGTTTAAAGTATTTTTCCCACAAATCCACATTAAATTATGTACCACTCCACCACCATCAGTTGTATGATGTAACAGGTTAAGATTGTCATGCAGTACTACCATCACCTGCATGATGAAACACGAGAAGCACCACTAACATTACCTGTACTAAATATTTCTTACTGTTTATCGAAGTGGTTCCAAAGTGGAATCAGCTAGACGAGGCGGTGAAGGCAAGCTCGATACACAACTTTAAGAGTAGATATAAAATTCAAGATAGCAAGAATTAATAATACTGAATTAAAGTAATTCTAGGGGGTGCGGTCAGGAGCAGTCTCTTGACGAGTTAATCAACAAACTTATGAAGTTAAAGTTAGCATTTTAACAACACTTCATACAAGGACAAGCAAAAAACAACTCCAATCGTCAAAGCTGACTCGCAAAATCCAGACTAATGAGCCCATTATACCGTGCACATTTAACAATTACTTCATGGCTTCAATGTTAAAGCTGAAGTGATAATCGTTACTGTGAAGCTAAACATCAGCAAAATGATTCGTTTACCTGCTGCTAAACATGGGAAATTTCTCTTTCATTTAAACATTCTACATCACGAATGGAAACATTTACATCCATAGAAACATTTACGGCTCAGTTTCTTCGTATTTTTCTGACGATACAGTTTTTATTAATTTCTCCAGTACGACTTTGCAGAAGTAAATAAATAACTGAAACGGAAATCAAACTCGTATCTAACTTCCAAACTAAACATCTCGGTAATTCCTTTTCCTGGACTACACTCTTAGCAGCACACAGCAATCAATATAACACTAGACGTGGTGTACTACACTATTTCTTTAAGCTTTTAGTTCATTTCCATAATACCTACAAGTCTTACTATGAACGTAATCCAGTGAGAAAATCGTTAGCCTTGTCCACCAAAGTCCAAATAAAAGAGTCATATCTGGAACATTTATAAATACATTCTTTTCAGTCTTAAGGCCAAGTGTTCAATGTAAGGGCGCCAATTACTGGAATGGTCAACTTAATTCGCCAAGAAACTTCTTAAAAGACAAGTTTATAGAAAAGTTATTTGTCGAAACATTTAGTATCGTTCACTTTCCAGGACGATCTGATCAGTGTATATATTAGTTACGAGGATGGCGAGTTCAGTGGTCAGTAACCATGATGTACAAGTCTCTCACTTAACCTCATGAGGACAACTGAGCTAGTATAAGCAAGCTCTGGTGGACTTTCTACAGTTAACCTCGCGAGACCAGCACTGGTGACGGTGTTCCTACACCAGACCTCCAGACTAGCTCTGGTGTAGGTGTTCTTAGATCAGACCTCACAAGAGTAGCGTTGGTGGAAGTCTTCCTACACCAGAACTCACGAAGCCAACGCTGGTGGTGTTTCTGAACCAAACCAGCACTGATGGAGGTCTTCTCAGATCAGACCTCATGAGACTAGCAATGGTAGAAACCTTCTTGAACCAGATCATCACTAGAGATCTCACTGCATCAGCGGGAATGGGTCAGCAACTTTCCAGCAAACTGCACTTCGCCTCACCTGAGGGACACGTGGGTCGGAGAGCAAGTGACCACACGTCTGACTTGCAGCGCGGTTAGGCGGGCACTGGCACTGTATAGAGAGCCAGGAGGCTGCAGGCAGGAGAGCAAGAAACACTCACACACAGCTTCCAGTACAGTGTTCTCGCAAAACGTGCAACCACAATTTTATCCTCAATATCTCAATTCTATTTATGTTTCATTATGACTTTTCTAGATTTTTAAATGTATCGTTATTTTTTTAATAAAGTAGGAATTTTAAGTACCAAGAATTTGACTAATATATCATTATATAAAATTCCTCGTGTATGGAGTACCTCTCCTATATATAAGGCACTTCTTGGTTTATTTTTTTTATTAACACATCGGCCGTCTCCCACCAAGGCAGGGTGGACCGAAAAAGAAAAACTTTCATCATTCACTCCATCACTGTCTTGCCAGAGGCGCGTTTACACTACAGCGCAGGCATTGTACTTCCCATCTCCAGGACTCAAGTCCGGCCTGCCGGTTTCCCTGAATCCCTTCATAAATGTTACCTTGCTCACACTTCAACAGCACGTCAAGTCCTAAAAACCATTTGTCTCCATTCGCTTCTAACACGCTCACGCATGCTTGCTGGAAGTCCAAGTCCCTCGCACACAAAACCTACTTTGCCCCCTCCCTCCAACCTTTCCTAGGCCGACCCCTACCCCGCTTTCTCTCCACTACAGATTTATACAGTCTCGAAGTCATTCTATTTTGTTACAACCTTTCTACTTGTCCAAACCATCTCAACCCCTCCTCAGCCCTCTGGATAATAGTTTTGGTAATCCCGCACCTTCTCCTAATTTCCAAACTACGAATTCTCTGCATTATATTCACACCACACACTGCCCTCAGACATGACATCACTACATCCAGCCTTCTCCTTGTTGCAACATTCACCAGGCATGCTTCACACCCATATAATTATGAGTGTTGGTATAACTATACTTTCATATATTCCCCTCTTTGCTTCCATAGACAAAGTTCTTTGTCTGCACAGACTCCCAAGTGCACCACTCACCTTTTCCCCTCATCAATTCTATGATTCACCTCATCTTTCATAGACCCATCTGCTGACACGTCCACTCCAAAATATCTGAATACATTCACCTCCTCCACACTCTCCCTCCAATCTGATATCCAGTCTTTCGTTACCTAATTTTATCCTCATCGCCTTACTCTTTCCTATATTCACTTTTAATTTTCTTTTTTTTACATACCCTACCAACCAGCCTCTGCAACTTCTCTTCAGAATCTTGGTTTATATCTTTTACTATTCCTAAAGAATGCTACTGAGAAATGACGAAAACACTTAGAATTTAATTTACTCTTCACTCTGGTTAGGGAAGGTCCACTTCGTCAGTCCACAGGGCTGACGAAAATGACTTGTGATTGTGTCCAATTATAACCCTAACCAAGTCAAAGTCAGAACAATTATAGTAAGAAACTTTTTATCAAACTGTATTCTTTTACGATCTCTCTTGCATAAATTGATTTGCAGTAAAACAATGACATGCTGTAAATAACTTACCTTTATATTTCCCTACTAGTAACATTCATTTTTTTCCGAGGAACACCATGAATTTGTGCTGCATACTAAAAAATTACTTTTGATTAATTGGTGGATCACACCGCGTTAATTTAGAATTTTTCCAAACTTTGCAGCAATTTTTTGTTCAAATGAAACAAAATTAACACAGGCGTCAGAATGCTCCCAAACAAATTGAATTATAAGGAGTTTGATGAACAGACATGCGTAAGCGCATGTGCATGCGTGCTCACATCTATGTACTCACCTATATGTGGTTGCAGGGGTCGATCTATACCTCCTGGCCCCGCAACTTGGCTTGTCGCTACTAAGTCCACTCTCGGCTCCAAGAGCCTCATCGTACTTCTTCAATTTCCCGACAACTCTAAGGCTGAATAAATACTTCCTAACATACCTATGATTCATCAGAGTTTTCAACTTCCAGTTGTGCCCTCATCTTCCTGCATCCCATTTCTGAAACATTCTGACCCTGTTCATCCTGTAAATTCCATTCAGTATTTTAAACGCCTTTATTATGTCCCCCATCCCTCATGACTTCCAGTGTGATCAGGCTGACTTCCCTCATAGATGCCCTTAGCTCCGGGACCTCGTGTGTGCCAAGAAAATATTCCCCACACCATTACACCACCATCAGCCTGAACTGTTGACAGATCCATGTATTCATGCTGTTTACGCCAAATTCTGACCCTCCCATCTCCATGTCGGAGCAGAAATCACAATTCGTCAGATCACGTGATATTTTTCCAATCTTTAACTGTCCTGTATTGGTGAACCTGTGCCCCCCTGTAGATGAAAGGAGTGGAACCCGGTGATGTGCGTTCAGATATTTTCTTCTGCATACCACTGTGGCAACACGTGGTTGAGTTATTGTAGCCTTCCTGTCAGCTTGAACCTGTCAGGTCAATCTCCTCTGACCTGTCATATTAACAAGGCGTTTTCGCTCATAGAACTGCCGCTCACTGGATGTTTTGTTTTTTCACAACATTCTCTGTAAACCCTATAGACTGTTATTTATGAAAATCCCAGGAAATCAACAGTTTCTGAGATACTGAAACACACCGTCTGGTATCAACAAGTATTCCATGACCAATGTCACATTTCTTCCCCATTCTGATGTCTGATCTGAACAACTGCATCTTATGATCCTGTCTGCAAGTTTTTAGGCATTACAATGTTGCCACGTGATCATATGATTCGATGTTTGCATGCGAGAAGGCGTGCAGGCGTACCTAATAAAGTGGCCAGTAAGTGTGTGAGTGTATGTATATAAACAAAAATCACTAAATATTTACATAACATCATTGTGACGAATGAAAAAGAATGAAAAAATATGTCACTGTACAACAAGCATCGATCAACACAACAAAAATTTAGCACCACGCATTCTAGCCGCCACTCTACGGGACTGACAAGCCACGTTTCACTGTATACAACATTCCTGGCTATAATTAATTGCTTGCCCTTTTTCCCAGGAGAGACGAGTGCAAGGCATTGTAATCCGTTGTGTGTCGAAAAGTCAGTCACTCACGCAACACATTAATACAAGAAAATGTTACAATGTTTTAATTCCTTCTGTATTAGACTTTTGACAATAAAGAACAAAAATGGACAATACCGTACCTGGAACAATACACAAATAACCCTCATATAGAAGAGAGAAGCTTCAGTCCGTCGTAAGTTTCACACTAACGTCGTCGTAAGTTTCACACTAACGTCGTCGTAAGCTTCTCTCTTATATGTGATTTATTTGTATCTTTTAATAATATTTGCGTGTGAGTGCCTCTTTTAACCTGTAGGTTCAGAGCTCCAGCTCTCGGGCCCACTTCTAATTTATGTTGAGTGATTTGATCTGGATATAATTTACCTTAAGCATGTGTACTGTTTTAGCTTCCATTATGTCATCTTCTGGTGTACTCTACTTCTATGACACTAAGTCTCTCTTCTGTCTCTGGGAATCATCTCTGCGCCTAATGTCCTTGTTTACCCTTAGTTCTGAGTAGTCTGTCTACCACGTTTACTCCAGAGTATATTATATGCTGTGATTATGTCCACTCTCCTCCGTTCTTGCATCTTGAATTATAGATCTTGTAGCCTTTTTCAGAATTTAGTTTCTCATTTGTTGTACAAGCCTGCCTTGTTACAAATCTTTGTGCCATTTCAATACAGGCAGCATATAGTAGGACACTATGCAAGCAAACCTTTAAACAGCTTCATCTGTCAACAAGTTTTTGAAGTCAATCGTTAAGTTAAAAAAACGATAGTCACTGACTGAAACGTTGCGTATAAATGAAGGCATTATCTGCAAAGTGACTTTTTATCATGTGTCGAGAATCCTGCCACTGTAAAACACAATCTATATACTCGACAATAAGTCAAGTAAATATTTATACATTATTCTGAAAGCTTTCTTGCTTGTATTCCTGCATGCCACTTACATTGTGAGCCTGACATACGCTGCCGATATTACCAGGTTACACAATGACTTTCATGTTTATTCCTAAAGCTTTTTCGTTATTTTACTTTTAGAATTCCTCTCCCTGAAGATTACCCGAAGGTTACTTGAAGACAACTGGAGAGTCATGGCCCAGACTCGGACCAGGTCTCTTGGTTGATGCCCTGATCAACCTGAGATGTGTGATTCTAGACTATCGAGGTTATTTACGTATAAAAGAAATAGCAATAGTCAAAAGGCCTAACCTCGTACGACGCCGTTACATAGCTCGTCCATTCTGATACTTCATCCCTCATTTTTTTTCAAGTATTATTTATTCTACTGGGAGGCATTGCTTTGAAAGCCTTCTCGTGGTCCAGGAATACACAGTCCGTCCAGACTTCATGGGTTTCTGTTAGGTTCGTGAGGCAATCTCTTAATTTAACGCTTTCTATATTACTTTTCTCAAGGCGCATCATTAGTCTAATTCTAACCATCACTCTGCATGAAATATTCAAGGATATCGGTCTGTAGTACGGTGCTGCCTACCACTTTCATGTTCTGAATAATGTATTAAGTTTGCATTTTATAGAAACGTTTGAATATTTTTTTCAGTTTCCACCAGTGTGTTAAGTTCCATGCACTATCACCACCACCAGGGATCACTGCTTTTGTACAGAGATCTCTGCCAGCAATTTCTTACTTCAGAGTTCCTTAGCATTTACCCATTTTTTTAATTAATTTTCGTGTGTTGGTGTTTTGACTTCTTTTTTACTGTGAATTCACTCAAAAATGCTTTTACAAAGGTATTCACATATTTTGTCTGTTTTCATGAGTAGGTTTCCTTTCTTCTCCAGTCTTATTACTTGGTAGTTTAGCGTAATCATCTTTCCATTGTAGCTGTGGACTAACTCTTGATTTGACTTGCTGTTGTTCTGCTGTTATTTTTTGTAATTCTCTCTCTGCTTCCCCGCTGTGTCAAGAGAATTAGTTTCTCGCCATACTGCCGGTTGCTTCGTTTCCTAACATTGACTTCATCCTGTGTGTTTCCATTCTTGCTTTGTTTCTCACTTCTTTTTT